GGGCAATCTACTTCCATAGTGATACTGCCTCAGAAACCCAAGAAGGGGTCACTATGAGTCAGGCCTGACTCAATGGCACATAACAACAACAACAACTATATATATATTTAAAGTAGTTTAGCGAGCTCTGGTGGCACAGAGCCTAAGGCATTTGACTGCTAACCAGAAGGTTTACAATTCAAATCCACCAGCCATTCCATAGAAGGAAGATGGGACAATCTACTTCCATAAAGATTTACCACCTCAGAAAGCCAATGTGGGTCACTATGAGTCAGAACCAACTTGATGGCAGTGAGTTTGGGTTGGTTTGTTTGTGTTATTGTTGCTGTTGTTTTTTGGAAAGTAGTTTAATCCCCTTCAAAGCCTTATGTGACTGTAAACACCAGTATCCCTACTTTATGAATAAGGAACTATGGCACAGGATTTCAACTTAGGCATTCTAATTCCAGAGTTTATGCTTTTAACTACTATGCCACAATGTTCATCCAAAACTGTTCATCTCTGTTCATGTAGAAATCATGCAGAACGGGTGGATATGAGATTAGACAGAGCTTGAAAGAAGATCATACAATATCAGAATGTTAAGGCCATGCTATTTTAACGCGAATCACAGGCTATAAATAACCACAAAGGTTTTTGAGCAGGAGAGTGTTTTGTCTTCAGAAAATACACAAACTTTTACCAAGTACATTTACTTCACCCTGGAATCACTCATCTGCAAAACGATAAAACTCTGGAGTAGAAGAGTCATTCTAATTCGAAAACTTTAACATCTTAGGAGAGGATATGCATTTCTCCACCCCCGCCCCACACACTACGCAATGGCTGCTTCAGTGTTTCTGACTACCGTGCTCCAACCCTGTTTAAATTTATCTGTGTGATTTATTTCCTTTTCCAGCTGGTGGATTACAGACTGAACACCTCTCTCCTCCTTTTCCTCCCCACTAATCATCACTTCTAGTTACCACAGCAAATAAGTCACAGCCTGAAGAATTAAAAGAAAGCCTTTTTCTTGGGAACCTCAGCTCTTTTTTAAGAGGTTGGGGCCGGCTTCACCTTTCCTTTAGATCACATCAGATAGGTTCTGGAGACTCACCTCAGAGCAACAAGTCCCTCAGACTGGATTTTTGTAGGAAACACTGATAACTGCCCCTTGAAAAAGGCATTGACTTAAACTCAAAGAATTCATCTGAGTCTGGTCTGAGCACTCCTTGCCTTTTAAGTCTCAACTTAAACGGATTCTCTCATCTTCCTATGATTGAATTTTCTTCCCAATTACTCATTTCCTGTAAAGATGTTTCTGAACATTTTCTTTCCTGTTCTCTTAAAACTCTCTTTGTGTCTCAGCAAATCTCTCTTCCTCAATTTTGCTATGTCATAAATGTGAACATCCCTCTTGGCCCTTCGTCTGGTTGCCTTGTGTTGTTCCACCTCCAATTTAAGACACTTCTAGAATCTTTATCCTTGATTTATGCTGCAAGTGAATCTTGTTGAATAGTATTCAAGTAAGAAAGATGAATCTACAACTTGAGATATGATTGTTGTTATTAGCTAGATCTGAATCAAATTAAGAAGCATGAATTGTTACTGTGTGTCATGGCTTGGACATGGCATTTAATCTCATTGAGAATGGTTTCTTCATCTATAAAATAATTCAAATCACAAATGGCTAATATAAGGATTCACTAATATAAACTATATGAAGCCTAACATATGATGTTTAGTAAACACTGGGTGTGCATTACAACATACTAGTTGTTCAATAAGTAAAGACCAGCTTTATCTATGATTCCTGCAAAATATCTGTGAGTTGATCACAGTCACCTCAGCTAAAACAATCCTGCTTGTCACTGGGTAGCTCTAATACCTCTTGAGGAGCTCTGGTAGCATAGTGCTGAAGGCACTTGACTGCTAACCGGAAGGCTGGTGGTTCAAACTCACCAGCCACTCCTCGGAAGGAAGATGGGGCAATCTACTTCCGTAGTGATATTGCCTCAGAAACCCAAGGAGGAGTCGCTATGCATTCAGTCCGACTCCACGGCACATAACAACAATACCTGTTGACTTTTATGCTTTCTAATAATTTTATAATTCAGTTGATCTTATTTATATATAAACATACATATCAACACGCATACACATACACACACATATATACCAGGAGCTCTGGTAGCATAGTGCCTAAGGCATTTGACTCCTAACCAGAGGGCTGGCAGTTCAAACCCACCAGCCACTCCTCAGAAGGAAGGTTGGGTAATCTACTTCTGTAGTGATATCGCCTGGGAAACCCAAGGAGGGGTCGCTATGAGTCGGGGCAGACTCAACAGCACATAACAACAACAACATATATATGGTGCCCTTTCATTAGATAAAGAGAAAGATAGATACAAGAAGACAGACTGTTAGATATAGACAACTGTTAGATGTAGACAACAGACAGACAGAGAGACCCCTGGGTGGTACAAATAGTTAACACATTCACCTCCTAAGCAAAAGGTTGGATGTTTGAGTCTACTCGGAAGTACCTTGGGAAAAAAGCCTAATAATCTACCTCCAAAAAATCACCCACTGAAAACTCCAAGCATAGATGTACTCAGATGGAATCAGGGAAAACTGCTCAGATTCTTGACTTTTCATTCACTACCTAGAAAACAGCTACCAAATTTCAAAAATCAACTCAAAACTTACTTCTTGTAAGGAGTTATCCACTTGACTTTACTCACTCATTCCTCAAGTAGAAATAATGATCCACTTGCTTTGCTCTCACCAACCTAGCTGTGTAAAATTTTGCCATCCCTAGCTGTGCATCAAAATCACCCATGGAGCGTCTAAATCATGCCAATAACTGAGCCATACCATCTGAGTTGCCGCCTCAGCAGACCTGGGTTTGGGTCCCTGCAACTGTGAATTTCTGGCTGAGTTCAGTGATGCACAGGTTATTTAAATGTGCAGTATGAAGAGAAAAAAGTAGGCCTTGAACTCTTCATTTTTCCTGGGGGGGGGGGTTACTGCTGGGAGTGGGGCTAAAGCTATCTACTTCACCAAGTCTATAACAGCAAAAGGGCAGAAACATTTTCTTAGTACGCTTCCCAAACCTCAGTCATGATTTCTGGCACAAATTGTTACTGCATGAAGGAAAAAAAAAAAAAAAAAAATGCTTTGCAAACTATTTTACTTGCAGTCATAGAAAAAATATGGTAATTATTTTGAGAATGTCAATGGAAAATAAAACATTACATTTATGTTACAATACATGTGAATACAGTGTGACTAGAAAATTTAATTAATTTCATATAAAACATGACTCTCAAAAGGTACATCTTGCCTAGAGCTAGAAAGTATCACAAAGGATTCATTGCCCCACCTCCTGCATTCATTGCACTACCTGATGGTCTTGCAATGGCCCTTTCAAATCCCCAAGGCAATTCTCAAATCCTCCTTAAATTACTGTTTCTTGAAAGTTCAGTTGTTCAGTTGTTCCCCAGTGAAGCTATCTTTAAAAAAATAATGTAATAAATTGACAAAATACCTCTCATTTTTGACCTATACTTCCTAGAGAATCCAAACTGTAACATTTTCCTCATAATCCCTAATATTTTTCACTTTTTTTACCTCCCTGGTGATGCAGTGTGTAAGGCATTTGACTGCTAACCAGAATGTTGGCAATTCAAACCCACTAGCTACTCTGTGGAAGGAAGACTGGGCAATCTATTTCTATAAAGATTTACTGCCTCGCAAACCTATTGGGGGACACTATGAGTTGGAATCAACTCGATGGCAGTGGGTTTGGTTTTGGTTTTTTGGTTTGTAATTCTTGTATTATATTCCACTTATAGTTCTCCACTTGTCTCACACTGATAAGGTTTTTATGCTACTACCTGCTTAAATATCCCAATCTAAAGTAACTTATAATGAAAATTTGTCATTGCTTTTAACTCTTCTAATCAAAAAACCCCTTTTTCCCTCAAAATTAAGTAATATGATGTTTCTCAAATGATAATTTGCATCATATTCAGCTGACATACATAGTAATAATGGAAATTCTCTTCCCCAAAGCCACAGTCACAGAATCTATTTTGGGAGTGGACCAAGAAATCTGTTTTTATCTTGTAACTGGTTGATTCTGATGTTAACTCTGCTCTTAGGTTACTTGATGACAATAATTTACACTACAGTAGTCT